TCCTGCCTTTCACTGTAGGCTAGATCAGAGCATATGCACAGGTACAGATAAGAGATAAGAGCTCACAACACAGGGAATCCAGGAAGAGGAATGGGAGTAGTGATACCAGGAGGGTAGGGGGAAGGTGGGGAGAGGAGAAGAGCAGGGGGGAACTGATCGAAAGACTGACACAAAACCACACCCCTCCTTCCCAGGGGGATGAACAACAGAAAGTGGGGGAAGGGAGACAGTGGTCGGTGTAAGATCTGAAGATAATAATAATTTATAATTTATCAAGGGGTCACCAAGGTGGGAGGGGGAGGGAGGGAAAAAAGAAGAGCTGATACCAAAGGTTCAATAGAAAGTAAATGTTTAGAAAATAATGATGGCAACAGATGCACAAATATGCTTGATACAATTGATGTATGGATTGTTATAAGAGTTGTAAGAGCCCTCAGTAAAATGATCTTTTAATTGAAAAAACAATCCACCTTTACCCTGTATTCTGAATTATACATAAGAGAAGAGGTGGAGAGGTAATGGAGGATAAATCCTAGGAAGGCAGACCAGAAAAACCATTATTAGAGCTGATAAAAAAGTTGATTTGGAATGAATTCAAGGGGAATGGAAATAGTTTAATGTGATTTTCTAAATAAGATGAATGACGAGAGTGTCCGTTTTTCTCGTACCTTTGTTATTACCTCACGTCCTTTGCTACTAGAGTTTGGGTGGCACAGTGTGTTATGCCATGGGCTGCTAACTACAAGGTCAGTGGTTCAAGCCTACCACCTGCTCCTTGGAAGAAAGATGAGGATGTTTCTGTAAACCCTAGGGAGCAGTACCATTCTATTCTATAGGATCACGGTGAGTCCGAATTGTCTCGATGACATTTATTTATTCTTAACCTCTTCTCAAGTTTCCATTCAACATTTCCAAAACATTTTCTTATCTACTTGAGCCCTTGGTATCAGCTCCTTTTTTTTTTTTTTTTTTGTGGACAAAGACAGTATGATAGGGAAGATGGAGGGAGGGTGGAATAGAAGGCCATGCTGATTGTGCTCCAGAGACCTGGATTAAAAAAAGATGTAGGTGAAAGCAATGATCATGGATGTAAACAAAGAAGAAGTTAGGTCAGCCTCTGGGTCCAGCCAAAGAAATATTCCAGGCATTGGGATGAGATGGTTAATTTGGAGAGAAGCAGGAGAAAAGTCGTTATAGATCAGATAATCCTGGGTGGAGACAGAGAGAAGGAGCCTCAGATAAGAGTTACAGAGCAGAGAGAGCAGAGACAGGAAGAACACTCCAGGGAATGGGAGTAACTCAGAATCACCAAAGTTCTCTGGTAGGTGAGGGAATCATGAATGAAAGAGGAAAGAGAGCCTTGGTTGGGGAAAAGGGCCTCTTTAGGCAGAGGCATAAAGAATGGGTGGGCAAATGACGAATTCAGACTCACAATTTGCCAAGCTGTAGTCATGGTAGCCGTCCAAACCACGGGCCTTCAGTCTGCGGGCCAGCTCACAGTTGGAGAATATCTTGGCCTCATAAACTGCAAAGAAGCAGGTGAAAAGGGAGAAGATCAGAATAGACTTCATTTCTGTGCCTGGTGGGGCTAAGCCTAGCAAATCCAGGACTCCGTTGTCTCTGATACACGCTGTGCACAGAAGTGTTTTGAGCAGGTGATGACTGGCATCTATGCCAGGAAGAAAGACTGGTTGTCTTAGGCGAATTCCCAAGACTGGATTAGTATCCATTGTGGACCTTCAGGAAAGGAATGGAGCCAAGAATCATACCAGAAACAAAACCTCAGGGGACCTGGAGTTAGCCAAAAGCATGGAGGGGGCAGATGCTGGAGAGAAGAGCTGGTTGGTAGGAGAAAGAAGTATGATTTTATTATTATTCTTTATTGATCATTTTATTGGGGGCTCTTACAGATATTATAACAATCCATAAATCAATTATATCAGGTGAACTTGTACAGGTGCTGCCATCCTCATTTTCAAAGCTTGAGCCCCCTTTATTCCTTCCCTCCTCCTTATTCTCTCCTCCCCCCATCCTATCACCCTCATGAAGCCTTAATAAATGATATATTATAATTATTTTTTCATATTTTATACCTTCTGAGTATCCCTTCACCCAAAATTTGGTTATTTGTCCCCCTTGTGGGGGTGGTAGTTATATACCCATCATTGTTATCAGTTTCCCTGTCCCCTCTCCTCCTTTCCCCCACCTCCCTTCCCGTACCCTCATGGAATTGTTACTCCCATTACTGTTCCTGGGGGGTTTAATCTATCCTGGATTTCCTGTGTCTAAACCTCTTATCTGTACCAATGTACATATGCCAGTTTAACTGGATTTGTGAGGTTGAACTGGGGCCATGACAGTGTGGGGAGGAAGCATTAAAGAACTAGAGGAATGTTGTGTGTTCTGTCGGTGCTCTACTGCACCCTTGATGAGTTGTCCCCTTCCATGTTTCCCTTCTGTGAGGGAATGTCAAATTATCAACAAATGGACTTTGGATCCCCACTCTGACACCTCTCCTTCACAACGATATGGTTGTTTGTTTTGGGTCTTCTGATACCAGATTCCCATCGCCACCTCATGATCATACAGGGTTCCCAGATGGATTGCCACTTGTTTAACCCCAAGCCTTTAAGACCCAAGGAACAACAAGTGATCTAAAATCGATGGCAAGGAGGGCATAGGATGCCTGGTAGGGCTTGATCAAGGGCAATGTA